TAAAAAATCGCAACAATGAGCAGCAATCGATGGCACAAGCGCCATTTGTGACCAGCAATGGCAACTGCAAACGAAATAAAGCTACAATAACTTCAAAAATCCTTTTAATTATTCCGAAAATGTCAATATCCATTGCCTGGAACCAGTTAGCCGGGAGGGCAGACTGGTCACCTTGTTGTCGGTGCGCCTCGTCCGTGCGGCATTTCTCTCCAACGCACAGCCGATTCCACCGCCGATGGACTTTGGCGAAACGCCACACTTGCCAGTTTCGGTCACCGAGCTCGGCCTAACGGCAGTTCACGTATCATGCGCTTTAGACCCAAGGAAGCCTTACATGAACTCTTCACATTTAGCAAAGCGTCTGTTCGGGGCATTGCCAGGAAAGAAAAGAATAGGTGGAAAATAACAGTATCGCCCGATCGCTGTACGATTCGTGTACTGCGCAATACACCCATCGTGCATCGCATTATAATGTACTATACTGTGTTTACATAGACCCAAGGAAGCCTTACACGAACTCTTCACATTGAGCAAAGTGTCCGTTCGGGGCATTGCTAATCAGGAAAGGACAGGTGGAAAATAACAGTATCGCCCGATCGCTGTACGATTCGTGTACTGCGCAATACACCCATCTTGCATCGCATTATAGTGTACTATACTGTGGTTGCAGTTTAGATAACTACCTGATTTGCAACTATTGTGCAGTGAAGGTCTGTACTGTGCATTTACTGAAATCTACTGCAACATTGGCGGTACAGGCAGCAGCACACCTTGCCTGTAAGTTACTTACCTCAAGAAAGTGACATTCTTGGTTCTCACGTTTGGGCATTCCTTCGGCATGGTCAACACCAGGTGGCCAGACGCCTTGGAGCGGACAGCGGTGCTCTTGTCGGGTCGCACCTAGAGCATACCACCGAATCGAGCCATCGACACGGACATTGATGATTGGGTGGTGACCTAAAGTGTGGTCAACCATGATACTGTTACGTGGAATGTCCCTTTCTTATCATTTTTTTTTGGGAATGTCCATAGAATATATCATAATCTGTAAGTGAAGAACTGTTGCGATTTCTCCCGGCAGCCATTGAAATGATGTTGAATATGAATTGAGGCGGCTGCTGCTTAAAATATTACCTATTGTGGTTAGTTGCATCTTTTGAATTTAATGCTCATTTACAACTCTCAATTGGCTTTGGGAAACTCAACAGTTTCTTTTAATTTCTTGCTTGCAGATTGTTACACATTAGAGGCTACATTTAAGGGCAAGGTGTAGTTGCAAGAAAGGATAATTTCGTGCCAGCATGTGATTCCTTGGCGCTGGTGAAATGCCATGAAGGAATTGACAAATCACACCACTTTCGTTTACTGACACGTGTATTGTATCCAGCACTTCAATATTAATGCCCTTAAAATATTTTGAATACTTGTTGAGATTACCGGTTTAGGACCACTGAATTGGCTCCGTTCAATACATGAAATATCTTGAGCACAAAACATAAAGAGTGAGGCAAAAAAAACACGGGAACAATATGACGAGAAGTGAATGTGATACTGGACAAAAACATGAGGCGGCAGAAAAGGAGGATGGAAAAAGATGAGACCGCAATCGAGATGAGGCGCTGTCACAACGAGTCTGCGATCAGGACATCGTTTCAAGGCTTTATGATAAACCGCTTTGTTCATGTCTCATAATAGTTTGAAGCTTCGTTTCGAATCCCCCATCACCCTCTGTGCCGAATCAGCGATCGAGGTTGGACTAGCGCGCTATCGCTGCAATGGCCAGAATCGAATCAGCGCTGTGATTTGATTTTGCCGTCAACGTGTTCTCTAATCGTTTCTGTGCTTCCATTGATACTTGGTGGGTCGCGCAGCCAGCTTCGGTGGCCGGAACTCTACGTTTTTGTTGCTCTATATTGGTCTAGCCGCGGTGCATGTGCTGAGCTTCGGTAGGCTGTGAGAAATGGATATTTTGGAGGGTGTGAAATTGGCAGAGGAAGTTGATGGCAGGGTGATGGCAGATCGCGAAGGAGGAAGCCTCCCGAGGTCAATCTCCGTCGCTGTCAAAAGAGTCATAAAACCTCTCAGAAGGGCAGAGGGAATGTTCGAAAAAGGGGGGCAGATCGCGGGCAAGGCATCGCAGATTTGCACCCATCGCCAATTCAATCGATGGATGGGTCCCGGCCAGCTCAGAGAAGGCGGCACCATTTGCGAAGCTGTGCCTGCCGGATGAGACGGCGTTTGCTCTGGAGCGGCTCAAGTTTCGAGGATTGGATCCAGTCATCGCCCGTCGCAGCGATGGGCTGCATCTCCAAGTCCCGCCGAAGTGGGATTTGATGATGGAGAGAGCTGCCGAGTCAAGGAGAAAGCTGTGGACGGGGCGGACGTTGGAGCTGCGACGTTGGAAGAAGAGGTGAGTGGGGTAGTTTACCCATAGCAGGAGGTCGAGGCAGCAGGCCCATAAGTGCAGGGAGTGTAGGGCAGAGAGCAGGATGGTTTTTGGCGAGCTGTGCGCCATGGCTGTTTGAACTCGAAGAGAACGCGGCAGCAATGTTCTGGGAGGATGTTGATATGTTTAGTTTGACTAACCTTTCTGATTTTGGTGGTTTCAAGAAGTTTGATGTGGAGATTCAGCCTTGAACCGGACAGAACTTTTGAGAATAATAAATTTGATGTGGGTCACTTGTTGGATCATGTGATCATCGGTTTTGGATGGGACAAATGCACTCTGTCTGTAAGGAAGGTGGCCAAATCTGTCTGGTGCGCTCTCCAGGTTACATTGCATGCGTTGCTTGTTGCAACAAGTGGAGGAGCTCTACCGAGGGCTGTGAACCAACCCAGCGCCTGTGCACGCTTGTGCAGTGCAGTCTGACCAGTGACTTTGGTCGGACGAGAACTTCTGGTCAAGCCAGCGTATCAGGTCAGACCAAGTTTTGGACAAAGAGTTGTGGCTGCGTTCAGCCGAACTCGGTTCCTGTGAGTGGTGTTGAATTAGGAGTTTGACGCTAGCTTGTCAAACACAGTCCATTGCGTTGTTTCAAGTTGCGGAGTACCATCAATCGCAATCGGAATTCTGATCGCGTATTCGCTTTCACAATACCTAAAGCACATCAGATATGCAAGCTAGGTCCAACATATTAATGTTGAACTGACCAAACCAATGAGTTCGAAGCCATTGGTTTGGTCAGTTTAGCTCCGCAATTCAAGCCACCAGTATGCAGCGTGACAGAAATTGCAAGGGAAGAAATTGCGCTGAATGCCCCGAGTGCGCCAATGTGTCTGATCCTTCCAACTGATCCGTCTGATCCAACTGATTTGACTGACCCGACCCATTCAATTGGCTTACCGGATCTGGAAGGATGAGCTGCAGCAACCTGCCCTTTATCAGCAGGCGAACGAATTCTGTCTGCACGTCGGCATCGATGAGGGACGTGTCCAGATATTTCCCGACGGCAACGCTCAGGACAAAGGCGGACCTAAGATGAAAGCGCACTTAATTATAGTTAAGCGTTCTCTGACCCATTTTCATGCAAACGCTCCTGGGCGAATGTCGAGGATTATATACGGCCTTTAAGACGCCGCTGATGTGGCCGAATTTGTAAGTTACGTTACTACAAATTACGTTGCGTTATTGATTGCTTTTATAGAAGAAGTCTATGTACTACGTAGAAAAAATATGTGCAAAGCATAAGTACTTGCAGTGTCATGATATAAGTAACAACTACTATGTTTTAATTATATGAATGCAGGAAGATTACTCTTTACTGCTATGAAATTAATTGAAGTGATTGTGCTCAGGCGCATATCCAGAGAATCGAATCAGTTGGACACGGCCCGTCGAAGAACAGAAGAAGCCGCTATTTATTCAAATGAATCCATTTTCGAAAGCAGCTCCGATGCCAATGACGAGCCAAAAAAAATGCAAATGCATTTCCACTCTCGACCACCTTAACCTGCTCACCCGTCTTCCTTCTCATCCATAGTGAAATCCCACATGCCTTCGTTCTTCTGAAGCACCGGGGCACCTTCAACAATTTCTGGAAACTCCTGAAAGGTAGCGATAGACAGCCAATCTATTATTTAAGCAGATTTACATAAGTATATACAGATATATCTATTGTACTCACACATAGATATATGCGCACAAATGGACTTTGAAGGATTCAATGCAACTTGAGCAACTGGCGCTTTTGATAGTACAAGCTCAAAGGTGCGTCAAAGTTAGGCGCCCCAAGATTGGGGAGGGATTGTCGATGAGCTCTTCACTAACGCTGAAAATTTATGCAATAGTGCCTTACAGTTATTTGTTGTAATTTAGCACTTTACAGTACTGTGTTGTTTCGTATTTTCTTCAGACGGTGCGGTTGCTCTGTCCAAAGCGAGTCGCTGCCGCTCATGGGCCACCAAGCCGCTCCTGCTGCAATGATCATTTTCAGGTCTGGTGAGCCGCATATATCTTAGGTCCCACATGTGATCCTTAACGCTTGACGTGCAATCCCTATGACTCAACACGATAACCCTCTATATTAATGTGCAATAAGCACAGCCACTTGTAAGCATTGACATTGGACAAACCCAGTTACATGCCCTGGAAGGCTCTGACCTGATTCTACAGAATTTGTGCCAGCATAAATATCTCTAGCTCTGCAGCAATATTTCATAGCGATGTTTCCGGGAAGTCAGCAAATGTAAGGGCATTTATGTATTGAATATTGGCATCGGTTCGTTTAGAAGAGTGTTGTTTCAGCGTTGGACCGCGCTTCACAAGCATAGAACAAATGTATCAATCATGTGCAAATAAAAATGCAACTATAAATAGTGCAAGCAAATGTGCGTCTCACACGAAATTCATCAACGAATCTACATGTACGTCCACGTATACGAATGGATACATGGGTATACGATTTTGTGGCACATATCGGAAATGCACAGGTACCAAAAGGACACCCATTTTCGAAGGGCTGGAAGTAGGAGCTGGTGCATACAGTTCTCCTTGGCTTCGCCTCAGCTTCCGCAAACAGGTTGCTCCTCGACTTCTTTTTGGCTTCCTCAGCTTCCCTCTCTCGCTGCATCTGTTGCACACACCAAACACTGGCCCATTGAATTTAGTGTCGTTACCGATTGCCTGCAGTCACTCAGAAGATCAAGAAATTCCCAACTCACTTTAAATATTTAAACACTCACATTCTCATGTTTGTCATATTTTCGTTCTCAAACAAATGTGCTGATTGTGCCGTCAAGTCTAACAACAGGTACTAGTGACCTTGCTGCTTGAAATTTGACAAAATATGCATGAAAACATTCACGCGTCCTGTAAATAATGCACCACGCTGTATGAGAACAGAAAATAACTGTATGTCAAATATATGGAAACGCCAGCAATTGCACGTAATGTTCCGGCAATGCCCACCCACCGTCTCCCTGTAATCCAGGATCCTAGTCTTGGGGCACCACGGCCGCATCATTTCCCCGTTTTCGTCCATGTACCCGGTCTCCTCGATCTCCGCATCTTCGGCCAGCAGGCTGTCGTCCTCCACGGCCGCGGCAGCTTCCGGATCGATTCCCTCCGCCAGCAGCTCCCGCCGCAGCTTCGCCTCGAGTTCCGGCAGCACCTGCAGCGCGGCGATCCTCTCCGACCGCTTGACGTCCCTGCCGTCCTTCACAGCAGCCGTCTTTAGTGCCGCAGATGATCCAGAATCTTCCACACACGTCAAAATTGAGGTATCCAATAAATCCAAGAAACATATGTCCGAGTTGAATGTACAAGAATTTAATTCCCTTCTGCTTGCCGATTTCTGCAGCTGAGTCGAGATTACGGACACATGTCGTGGATTGTGCGGCCAATCCACGCAAGTGTTCCTGGATATCAATAACCGGAATACACGGACGTTGCTCCCCAACCCCAAAATTCCAAAACCTCCAATACGCAAATTACCCACATGTATACAAAAGCAACCCAGCATTGCCCTCAAAACGCCTAAGAACATTCAAAAAGTCTCCATAACATATATGACAATGGATATGGATTATAGTTGCACCCAATATCCAGAATTAGATACAGATGCATATTACAGATTATAGTGATGTTTATAAGAATAACTCCCTTGAACTCACCAATTTTTGCAATTGAGGCAGGGTGGCCACGACGTACTGCCGATAGTACGGCCACTCCGTACAAGGGTTGCCCACCAGCTGCAGCTCCCTCAGGTGGATGTTGTTGCTGAGGCTTCGCACGCTCATCAGCCCGGCCTTGTTGATGAAATTCACCGTGAGATCCAGCTTCTGTAGAGATTCGCACTTCTGAAGGTTCTCGATCCGAGTGATGTTGTTGATCGCCAGATTGGCGTATTCCAACTCCTGAATCGGCACATATGCGAATGTACTAAATCTGGCCAGTCACTTGCTTCATCAATCTCATAAACTCCAGTTAATACAAAAAACCGCTTGAATTCGCAGCTTCATTATTTTGAAACAATGAACAGTACGCGATGAGCAACGCAGTGATGAATGCTGAAGCGACAACACAAAAGTTTGTCAATTTGAGATATTAAGTGAGCATTTTGAGACTTCTCGGCTTGGGGTATTCTGCAGATCCGCTCCGTGGCAATTTACAACAAGGTCAGAAGCGGAGGGAAATAGATTCATTTGTTACAGTGAAAATACTCGCAATTTCGCCAGACCTGTCGGGGACAACCCGACTCGTCCCACATTTTGACCTGACTAGGTTCTAGATCTTTCTCATGAGGTTACTTTGTGGTAAGGACACCAAGTAATACACTGCAATTTACACTCAGCACGTTTCTGAACATAATTGTGGTTGAAACTCATTTGTGCTCCTAAGCCACCATGTTATGTGGTATTCCACTGTCGGTTCTCGCCACCAACACAAGGTTATGGCTGCTACAGTTTTACCTTCACTTTACCAAAACACAAAAATTAAATGGAAAAAGGGTTGTGCACTATTTTCAGATTAATATATAGCATGACTATACATTATATATACTCACATATTTCAGGATTTTTATGACTATATTACCGATTTTATAACAGTACGTGTTTTCCTGCTTTTGTTGCGGCCCCCACCTTTAGCCTGTGCAGGTTCTGGATCTTTCCAATCAAGTTGTTTTGAAGGTAGAGGATTTTAAGATGCCGGCAGATTTGCCCTAGCATCTCGATCTTTTCTATGTGCTGCTGATGCAGGGCCACCTCCTCCAGCGTCGACAACATTCCCTCATTGTGCTCTGCCCTCTGCGATGATCAATTTTGGTACAACTTTCTCAATTTGGCTTCTCATTTCCATGTTTGAATATTTTTTCTCTTGTACATTCATTCATTCATATGTAAAATCCCTAAAAATCACCCAAGCACTGTGAGGCGGTGTAAGGTGGGGGATTTGGTTGTCAACATCACTTTAAGAGAGAGAAGGGTGCAACACAGTACTATAAAATGCTAAGTCCTCTAATAGTTCTCCTGAAACGTTGTCACATCGCGATGTCGTCACCATGCCTCCATAGTCCCTCCCTCTTATGCCAAGCTAGACTATGTAGATCATGATCTACGTATTGATAAATACTTCAACCACACTTTTAAAGTTAATTATTATTATTAAAAAAATTATTAGATTAAATTAATATTTCTTTCTAATTTAGTGCTTTTGCATTGCATATCGATCAGTTTACGTTGCTGTCACTCTAGCAATATCCACTTTATAAGGTTCTCATTTTCATGTCCTGCTGCCAACCAAATGGCACGTGGTACCACGGAAGACCCGCATTGATGTCGTGAAAGTTTAACGCAATATGGAAAGTTTTTAAACAATGCAAATATTTGTGAGCTCCAAAACAAAAAAAAATAATGAACATTGCAGTCGCATCATATAAAGCAATGTCTTGTTTCCTTCGCAGCATTCAAATCACTAATTTGGGGCGAAACAAGCAGCTCAAGCATGGTTGGTGGAACTGGAGTGCAAGGCTCAGCGCTTTACAACACTTTTCAATCTATTCTTCCTCCGAGAGAGAAAAACAACAAAATCCCGATTTGGTTTTTGGGGACACCATAAACCAAATCAGGCGCTACCAGTCTGGCAATTTCACATCAGGCTGATATGGCATGGCCAGGCTGGCAACTGCCTCCTCGTTTTACGCCGGAAAGTTTCTTGACCAGTTGAACTCCCAAATGCGTCACTCCCTCGCCTTTGCTGCATGTGATCAACAGGTTGAAATGTCAGGTTGAAATGTCAATTCAGAACGTGCCTTTCGCAGGAGATCCACAGTGATCCTTCCCATTCCCTTGGGTCAGCTCACGGCGACTCAATCTGACGGGTGCTGGTACAAACGTGGTTGAGCCTCTCGGACCCTTGCGTGCCGCCCGAGCGAGTCCACAACTCCTCTCGTTGCAGCTTCCCAAGGGCAGGAGAATATGCCACCTGTGCGCGATACTGCGTCTGAGGAATGCCAAAGCGCGACAAAGAGTCCACGGCCGCGGGTTTATAATTTCGAAAAGTAAAAAAAATGTGAGGAAGACAGACGACAAAAGGAATGAAGGAAGTTCCCAGAAGGCGCCAAAGGGCATCAAGGACGATGTTCAGCTGGCGCTGCTGTTGAGCGGCTGTCGTTTGCTAACGCTGGCTTAGAAACAGATGCAACAATGTAATGTACAGTACTTAGCCTTGTGGTACTTTTTCCAGAGGTGTTGGGGCGCAGTAATCCGCTGACCTGCTGCCGTGCTTCTAGACCTATGAGCTGCCAAGGATGAAGAAATGCGATGAGCGAAAGGAGGCTTCAAGACAGGAGTTGGTGCCGCATGGATTGGTCGTTTGCTTACCTTCCCCCGGGAGGGCCAGTCCAGCTGAAGACAGCACTGGGCAGTTTTGGCTTGACTGATGCGTCTTTTGAGAAGAGCTGATCAGGGGTGGCCACGTTTATATGCTTATGGCCATTTAGGTGTAAATGAAAGTGAACTAAGATTGATTGATCAAGGTTAGTTGATTAGGATTAAGAGCAACAAGATTGGTTGACTGAGAGTGACATACGAGTGATAAGATAGGAATTAATACAACACAGCTGCACTTGCCTTGAGAACGAAGCGTTCCTTGTTCATTTCCTGTCTGTTCCTTGTCTGTTCGTTGCTTATTCCTTGTCTGTTCGTTGTTTATTCCTTGTCTGTTCGTTGTTTATTCCTTGTCTGTTCGTTGTTTATTCCTTGTCTGTTCGTTGTTTATTCCTTGTTTATTCCTTGTTTATTCCCCATTTATTCTTGTTTATTTCTTGCTCATTCTTTGTGTATTCCTTGTCGCTGTCCATCACCAACACCAGTCCGAGGTGCGCCTCCATCGTGCGGCAGTGCCATGGCCCCCCACTCGCCTGTCTGGGGAACAGCTCTCCATTTGGAAAAGGCAAGTGCACCTGGGAAGAAGAAGTTCCTGGAAACCTGGGACAGGACCAGCAGCAAGGCGTTGGCTGGCGCACCGAAGCCGCAGGGGAGCAAATCAAGTTGCTTAAAAAATCCCCAAACTTTCGACCACATACACACACCCAACAACACCCCAACAATACGACTGTTGTGCCCAAACACAGTCGTGATCGCGCCCTGAAAATTCATGCCATGCAGATGAATGCTGGAGCGCACCCCTCAAATCTTCTTTGACCGAACACATCAGCATCCATCCAACAATACTTTTGGCCGTGTCCGGCCCAGTCAAGCTCAACTCCCCATAAGCCATTCGCAACATGTGCCCAGAGCGCAGTCAAATTCACGCTCCGAAAACGTCCATGGTGCCAGGGCGTACCACTCAAAACTCATTGGCCATGCCCAAACACAGCCACATCATTCCCAAAAAACTTTGGCCATGACCAGCCTGGCCAAGTTCAACTTTGGCATACATTCCAATCGCGCTCAAAAGGAGCCCAGCGCTCTATCCTCCTTCAACCGCAGTTGAGTCAAAGTCCCCAGAGACGTCGGTATTATGACAATTGGCAGCTGCCATGGCCAATGCGTACCCGTCAATTGCCACAATATACAAGAACCCTCCTTTGTGTTGTGAAGGCCAATGAAGTCCGCAGGGAGGTCATGAGCCACTCAACACTTCCCGCCCTGCAGGTTCTTATGCCCATTTCTTTCAGTGTTCCGGTTTTCCTTTTCCTCTCTCTACTAGGGCACTGCACAGCCACATTCCAAGCACCAACGACAGATCGTCAATTCATGATCACGCCAGCGATGCACGATCTATAACAATACCGAATGGCAACACATCGCAGCAATAAAGGCAAAAGCCATCTGGCAATCACCAACCCGTGCACCCCCCCAGATGTTCTGCAGCATATCAATAAGGCATTCCCACCATGAATAGCGACTCATGCAGCAACTCGCATCACCCTCTTGCATGAGTCGCTGGACATGCAATCGTCCATCTTGCCGTGAACAACAACTGCTGCAGCCAACTACAAGGCCACTGTGTCATAAATAGCCACATGTGCCAGGAACCGTTGCACTTGTGGCTGCTGGCCCGTGCTCTGTTTGCCACCTGCTCACACATTCCCTGCAGCCAGATTCCCGCTTGTCACGTACCGCCTGCTGCATCGCCATGTTGCCACAAACAGACTGACACGCAGAAATCAAGATTTGGCCATTTTGCAAGATGGCCAAGTTGTGGGTCTTCTTGTGCACCAAAAAGTGTATTGGGACAAATTGGCACAAGCAGACTAGAGGTGCGGACACCCAGATGTTGGTCATCTTGGAAATGAAATCATTTCCAGCTTTCCTTCCTGGCAATTCACCCAGTAAACCAAGGGCATCCATGCACCCGCTGCGCAGTCAAGCAGCTGCTTTCATGCGTTACAGCGCTGATGGCTGCAGGTTGACAGTCGATCTGCGCTGCCTATAGTTTGCATCTTTGGCCCACTCCCTGTAGTCTGACCCCAACTTGTTCATGAACAAGGGCAGCAGCAACTGCAACACAAGGAAAATCAGCGCTTCCCAAAGCGACTATGCAGTTAAAGATACCAAAAGTGAGTTTGAGATTTGTTTATTCGGATTTCTTGCTGGGATGGAGATTGCAGAGACAGAGCTTGGGATACCTAATGCACATGGAACCAACAAATAAGGATGCACACAGAAGTTGGACAAAACTGGGAAAAGAATGGAAAACAAAACTAGGAACTGAAAATGAGCAATGGCGACTGGATTAGATTTTCAAATTTGGTTTTCATTAATGTTGCGTGGATGGCAATCTGCCCGCTTTGGACTTAAAAGGGACACAGTTGACTGTTGTGCCTTGACAAACACAGTCGCTGAAGAATGTACTCCAATCAATTACACATTCGAGTAAGAAAGTAGAAACTGCAAGGAAACAGACAGGTGCTGCTTATTGACAGTTGAAGAGGTAATCAAGTGATCAGCACCTGCATCAAGACAGTTAAATGAACAGCACCTGCATCAAGGCAATCAAGTGATCAGCACCTGCATCAAGGCCTCAAGGGCCACATTGCAGCTTCCCTCCAGCACCGGCCGCGGCATCAGATTAAACGGGGGCACCACCTCGCACCAAACGTCAAGCCGTGCGTCCCCATGAATCCTTGGTCTGCCATTGACCATTCGCTGATGGAGGGTTGACTTGGCATTGACCACTTGGTGACTGGAACCATTAGCACTGTGTTGACCAACTGTTGACCTTTCCCTGGCCAATGGGCAGTGGGATTGCCATGTGAGCGTGGCCTCAAAGGACAGGCAGAAACGCTTGTCCAGATTTAGAGACTGGAGGAGCTCAGAGCCTTCGATGCGGCAGCTTTCAGTCTTCAGTACCACACAGGGGGGGTGGGTGTGCTTGTAGTCGACAGTGATGGTGGCGATAGGCTCCACCCAGACATTGAGAAGCTGGGGAAAGGCATTGAACATTCCATTGGCTCCAGTGGTTAAGAAATACAAGTAACGTTTGTGTTCACTTATGGCCATGAATCTATTGTTATCAGGCATGCTGCAAACATCCCAAGTATACTATTAGAAGCACATTCCTGTTATATGTGTGTTTGCGAATTGCATAGTTGAGGTGACACACACAGTTGGGAGAAGGGCGGTACATGTGGATTAACATCACATTTGCCAGAAAGTCATCTAATGCAGGAGAATCAGTACCTGCCATTGCAATTGCTCGCTTCAACTCTGACACTCATCAGGCAATATGTTGGGCACTTGTGAAGAAATGGTGGGGTTTTGTCATGTTTCAGTTACTG